GTTGTTTGGCGGGTCCGGGCTGGGGATTCGAACCCGCCACCTTAGGTGTATGTGGCTGGCGCCTTAGCCAGTTGAGCTATAGGCGCCGAGCCTGGATGTTTTATAGAGATGGGGTCTTGTTTTTGCTCAGACTGGTCTGGAACTCTCAGGCTATCCACCCTCCTCAGTCTCCCAAAGTGCTAGGATTATAGGCATGATTCATCTTGCCAGATCTTATTTGCATATAATTTTCATTCTCTTTTACCATCTAAATAAATACAAAGGAGTCACTTTCCTTCTCCATTCTACTTCCTACAACCCTTGCCCCTTAAGGGCTAGTCTGGGCAAAAAAAAAAAAAAAAAAATCAGTTGGCTGGTATTTAATTAGGTATGTTTAGTTTCAGCCAGGTTTTTGTTGTTGTTGTTGTTGTTGTTGTTGAGACAGAGTCTCATTTTCTTGCCCTGGCTAGGGTACCATGGCCTCAGCCTAGCTCACAGCAACCTCAAACTCCTGGTCTCCTCCCTCAGCCTCCTCAGTACTACAGGTGCCCCCTCAACACCTGGCTAGTTTTCCTATTTTTAGTAGAGATGGGGTCTCACTCTTTTTTTTTTTTTTGGCCACCTCTGGCATATGGGGCCAGCGCCCTACTTCTCTGAGCCACAGGCACTGCCCTAGGGTCTCATTCTTGCTTAGGCTAGTCTTCATTTACTGAGCTCAAGCAATCCTGCTTTGGCCTCTGCCCGGCCTCTTTTCCTTACTCTTAATCATTCTATAATGGTCAATATCAGTCTCTTTTCCTTTTCCAGCTTTACCATTTTCACTTGCTATAATGATATTTCTTCCTCTTAAGTTAGTACTTTATCACCAATCCTCTGTGGGCCAACCAACGGGGGAAGGTATTCGCTAGCCCTGAAACCAGGCCTTCAATCCCCTTAGTTACCTGAAATATTATATTTGCTAACTCATTTCCCAACACCAGAGGGTGTCTGTCTATCCTTCTATCAGTCCTACCCTTAAGGTAGAAGTTCGTTCCAAACCTTTTTCTCACTCTTTTTCGCTGCTGTTACATACCTCCCTGTAAAAGTAGAGATTAGTCCCAAACCTTTTCCTCACTCTTTTTCACTGCTTTTACTAACACAATATTTCCCTTCCTCTTACCCTCCCTCTCCACCATCACAAAACTTTGGGTCCAGAAAGTGGTGTCTTTCCTTTTCAGTTTATATGCTTATATGCTCTCCAGACGAACTTGCAGTTTTCATTGTCTATGTGTCCTTTGGTCTCTGCATCACCCACACTCTCCTTTGCTATGGCTCTCCCTTTCTTTCCCTACCTGTCTTCCACCTCTCTCTGTGGGCTACCTTTACGTACGTGTCTCTGAACTTCTTTAGGAACCTTCCTTTCTTCCTTCTGTCTTACTCTTTATGGGTCTCTCCCTGCCTCACCATTTTTTTACCAGTCTTTCTCCATCTCTCCCACAACCTCCACACTAGGAATAAAGTCACCGTGATTGCGCAGAACATGCCTCCTGTCGCCCCGTCCGGGATCGTGACATTCCACCATGCTCCTCCGCGCATTCCAACTGCAAAGAGTCCCCCTCTTTTCTCCCCATGTTTGCCTGTTCCAATTTTCGAGTGTCTTACTGCCAGCTGCCCAACTGCCCCTTGCCCTCCTCTCACTTCCAGTTAGCGGATCTCCACCTCCTCAGCAGTTAGCACTGGTGACCCCTCCCCCCCCAACACGCACACACCACAGATCCCTGCGCAGACACCCCAGTCGCTCTCTTCCACACCGCGCTCCGCCCCTCCAGGAAAGTAGATCCGGCCAGGCAGACAAAAGTTTGGGAGAGAAGTTGGGTCTGAGGCGAGCGTGAGAGCGAGGGGGGCGGGGGCCGGGGAGAGTGGGACTGTCTGGAGAGTCGACGCGTGAACAGATAAACCTGCGGACGGGACAGCCACGGCTGCAGGCTCTTCTAGACCCGCTTAATCCCAGATGCGCGGGGGGACGCAGCCTCTCCCGCTGGGGGATGCTGTGGGATTCCTGGCGCCGGGCATCCGGGCCGCCCGCTAAGCTTCTGTGCCTACCCTGTGCCCCTGGGGAGCAGGAGTCCAGCCGCAGGGAAAGAGACTCGGCCGAAACGCTGCCGGGTGCCTGGAGGGGAGGGGGCTGGACGCTGCAGGCCCGAGGACATGGAGCGGTTAGGGGAGAAAGCCAGTCGACTGCTGGAGAAGTTCGGCCGCAGAAAGGGTGAATCTAGCCGGTCTGGGACTGATGGGACCCCCGGGCCGGGGAAGGGGCGCCTGAGTGGGTTGGGGGGACCTAGAAAATCAGGGCCCCGAGGAGCAACTGGGGGACCCGGGGAAGAGCCACTGGAACCAGCCCGGGAGCAAGGCCCCCTGGACGCTGAGCGGAATCCGCGCGGCTCCTTTGAGGCGCAGCGCTACGAAGGGTCCTTTCCCGGGGGGCCGCCGCCCACCCGGGCCCTGCCTCTACCTCAGTCATTGCCCCCTGATTTTCGGCTGGAGACCACAGTCCCGGCCTTAAGTCCCCGCTCCAGCTTCGCCAGTAGCTCAGCCAGCGATGCGAGCAAGCCGTCCAGCCCCCGGGGCAGCCTGCTGCTGGACGGGGCAGGGGCCGGCGGAGCCGGAGGTAGCCGGCCCTGCAGCAATCGTACCAGCGGCATCAGCATGGGCTACGACCAGCGCCACGGGAGCCCCTTGCCCGCAGGACCGTGTCTGTTTGGCCCACCCCTGGCTGGGGTATCGGCAGGCTATTCCCCCGGAGGGGTCCCGTCTGCCTACCCCGAGCTCCATGCCGCCCTGGACCGACTGTGTGCTCATCGGCCCTCGGGGTTCGGCTGTCAGGAAAGTCGCCATTCGTATCCCCCAGCCCTGGGCAGTCCTGGAGCTCTAGCCGGGGCCGGAGGGGGAGCGGCTGGGCCTCTGGAGAGACGGGGGGCGCAACCCGGACGACACTCGGTGACGGGCTACGGGGACTGCGCCGCGGGCGCTCGATACCAGGATGAGCTAACAGCATTACTGCGCCTGACCGTGGGCACTGGTGGGCGAGAAGCAGGCGCCCGCGGAGAGCCCTTGGGGATTGAGCCGTCGGGTCTGGAGGAGCCGCCAGGTCCTTTCGTTCCAGAGGCTGCCCGGGCCCGGATACGGGAGCCAGAGGCCAGAGAGGACTACTTCGGTGAGTGAGAACTGTTCAGGGACGGGAAGGGACCCGTCATCGCATACACCCCGACGGCCAAAGTGCCGGTGTCCCGGGGTCCTATCCGGAGATGCGGGACCAGAAACAAGAGGGATGGGATGGGGGCGGACCATAGAGCTTTCTCCCCTTCTTACTGGGTTTCAAATGAACCTGGCTCTTCATTCCTGGTAACTTCAACCCCCCGGATTGTCTCGTGAGTCCCAGTTTCTCGAGCATTTGAGTTTTGCTTTACTGCAGAAGCAGCCTCGTAGGGAAGGGACCAAGTGGAGCAGTGAGGGTATCCCCCCATTTGTTCCCCCCTACACGACGGTGTCCCTGCAAGATTGTGCGCGCCGCTCCCCACCCGGGCTCAGGCTCCGCCCGCAGGAATTCGGGGAATGCGCGGGTGGGGGGGCTGGGCAGGCGGGCCGCGTGCGTGCCGACTCCTGCCCGGGCGCTCCAGGTGCCCGCGGGCGGGGCCGGCCTCAGCCGCGCTACCAAGGGGTGGAGTACAGGGTTAGAGGGGTGCTGCTTAGTGTGCGCAGTGAGTGGCCGCTGTGGTAATGGAGTTTTGGGGGGGGAGGATGGAACGTCCAGGAATGGAAATCAGGGACTCAACTGCTGTCCCAGTCCTTGCTCGTTAGGTGCATGCCTGGGCATTTGGGCAGAGACCGGGTAGTACCAACCTCTGTTCTCCCCGTCCTCCGGAAGTTAGGGCAAAAGCCATGACCATTGGAACACCATCACTCCTGGATGGATGGTAACTACCCAAATAACTTGGCCTTTAGTTCTGGCAATACTTGCACAGGATTCAGGGTAGAAGTAGCCCCTTACTTCCTGCTACTGTTAAGGTAACCTGGTTGCTGTTTCCCTACCCCACTCTATTCAAGAAATTATTGATTATACGTTTCAGCTACAGCGCTATTGAGGTTTTGAACACTCTTTTCGCCCAAACTCACAGGCATAGTTTACTATATAAAGAAATACTGTTATGACTGGGACTGAGAAGTGGCAGGGTCACCCCCCCACCACCACCAGGGCTTTCCAAGCATCTCCTTCCCATCTTTCCAGTACCGATGTCCATGCCCTGGATCCCATGCTGTAGAACTCTATGGCTAGAAATGTGGATAGGCGAGGAATACAGCCAGAAAGGGATGATTGGGAAGGAGGTTCAGGGTTAGGTAGCAGGCTACAGGTTGGAAGGACCCTGCATAGTTCAACCCCAAACTCCTCCCCATTCTGTTTCCCCACCCCCAAACCCACCCTGAGAGAAGAAAGCCCAGAGCAGATGATGCTACACCACTTTAATCAAGGGAGACTGAGTGACAGTGCCCTGTTAGCAGTTTCCTTTTGAGGCTCAGTAGAGGTGGTTGGGAAAGAAGTCTCTTAGCTGAACCATCCAAGCCAAAAGGAAGAAAGGAGCTCAGAGAGTGTAATAAAAGGGCAGGAAGAACATTGGTGTGAATATGCTGGGTTAGAGGAGGTGAGGCAGACGTGCCTGAGCAGTTTCCTCTCAAGTCTTCCCATAATGTCCAAGGTTTCCCCAAGAATGGCTCTGCCAGGACCCCCTGGCATAGCAATCTTGAGGCAGATTTCCATCTACTTCCATGAGGTCACAGTGTGAATTCAGAGGTGGTGGTTGCCTCCTCTGAATTTGACAGTACCCCTACAAATGCCTTCTACCCCTAGCCCTAGCCTGACTGTACTCTCCTACTCCTGCCCCTACTAGGGGCCCTCTTCGTTGGCTTCAGCCTTGCCCAGCTGCCAGAGGGTGGGAGCAGGGACAGGCCTGGGCCCATCAGTTGCTGCAGCTGCTGCACAGGCTCCCAAGCCCCTGGGCAAAGCCTGGGATGGGCCCCAACAGGCAGGGAGTGTGGCAGCCTGCCGAGGGGAAGAGGTGGGGCGGGCCCGTTGGGATCTGCTCCCCAAAGACAGGCCCTAGCCCTCACTCATAGGCCTGGAATTGGGGAGTGGAGGGAGGAAGAACACACCCAAGAAAGGCTGGTGCCAGACCCAGGTGTATGTATCTTAGTGGGGGGTGGGAGAGTGGTATGTGTTGGGGAGGAGCAGTTCAGTTTTGTGTCCCTCACATGATAAAGGGTTTAGGGGTTCTGATATCCTCCCCCCTCCCTATGCAACTCTGATTCCTGAAACACACCCTACATTTTCAGCAGCCACCTCCCTGCAGGAGTCATGCTCACATGGTCCCCTCTACACAGGGCCCTCTGCTGAGCCAGATTCTTCTCTACATCCTTGGAAGCCTGCAGCAGAGAGAAATCATGTTATAGCTGAACAGTAGCTTGTTTTAATGATAGGAAAACTGAAGTCCCAGAGAGGCTTTCTGGGCCTGGCTTTCTTACTCTAAGAAGTTTATTTATTTATTTATTTATTTTGAGACAGAGTCTCACTTTGTTGTCCCCAGTAGAATGCCCTGGCATCATAGCTCACAGCAACCTCCAACTCTTGGGCTCAAGCAATTCTCTTGCCTCAGCCTCCCAAGTAGCTGGGACTTCAGGCTCCTGCCACAACACCCGGCTATTTCTAGACATGGGATCTAGACATGGGGTCTTGTTCTAGCTCAGGCTGGTCTTGAACTTGTGAGCTCAGGCAATCCACCTACCTCGGCCTCCCAAAGTACTGAAATTTCTAGGAAGTTTTATCTGCTGCTGAGCCTCTATGGATCAGCATCTCCGACCATTTGTCCTACATGCTGTAATAGGGATCATACCTTGCTCTTACAGTCTTTTCTCCCTAAGAAAACCTAGGCATCTGAAGGCGTGGGACCATATCTTCAACTTTCTTCAATTTTCCTTAGTAGTGGGTACTGTGCTACAAGATCTTGCTGCATCCCATTGCTTGTTATCCTCTCCCTCAGAAGGAAACCCATCAGAAGGAGGCTTTGTCCTCTGGTACCTTAGAAAGGAGCAGTCAAAAAAGCTTGGGAATCCCTGATTTGAGCTAGGGGAGTGGAGTGTGACACCGACAATCTTTCTCTTTTCTCAGGCACCTGTATCAAGTGCAACAAAGGCATCTATGGGCAGAGCAATGCCTGCCAGGCCCTGGACAGCCTTTACCACACCCAGTGCTTTGTCTGCTGCTCCTGTGGTGAGTGCAGTGGTGCCACGTAAGCACCCCCCGTACACACTTAAAAGTGCTGTGGGGAACAGGAGGAGATCTTCTGTGTCTTCACTTGCTCACAGAGCATCTGCTGGGTCCCCACAAGTATCTGGAAGCCCACCTTCTCTCTTGCTTCCCCTCTCTGCTCTACGTGGCTCTCCTTCCCCTGAGGTAGGTCTGCTTTTTGGAGACCATCTTCCCTTCCTCCGTTTAGAACTCTTTCCTCTCCTCTGTTCCTCCCTCTTTTCTTATGCCTCCCTGCTTGCCCAGCCTGGACTCCTGCCCAGCCCTCCAGCCTCTCCTCGGTGGGGCTTGGTCTTGGGTAGCCCAGTTGCCCAGGGTGATAGTGAAAGACTGGAATGTGGGAAGGGTGGGGGTGGGCTGGAGGAGGGGAGAGCTGTGGGGGGTAAAGAGGGGGTTTTTCTCTTGGCTGGTCAGAGTTCAGCCACCTCCCTAGAGTGCAGGCCACCAGGCCATGCCAAGCTGATGACATCACGCTTCAGGAATGCCCGCTGCTGTTAGCTCAGGAGGCCTGCTTTGGGGGGGGGGGTGCTCATGGCCTTAACGTCCCCCTTTACCTCCCTCATTACCCCTCCCCACTGCTTACCCATTCTGATTCCTTTGCTAAACCTTTAATCTATCTCTGCCTGTCTGACTCCAGCACTCAGCTTTTCTCTCACTCCCTCGGTTTCTGCCTAGTTCTCTTTAGGGTCATCTGTCTGTCTGTCCTGTTTATAGGGCCTCTTCTAGCTATGTCTCTCTTTCTCTCTTTCCTCATCTTATGAGTTTCTAAGCCAGTGTTTCTAAACTGTTAAGGAGGCAGGAACTAGAAGAGCAGTGAGCAGAGGAGAGGGGAAGTTGGCTGGAAAAAGGCCAGAGCAAATTGGAATTGCATTAGGTGGGATTTTAGTGTGGGGAGGGAGGATAGACAGCAATTAGGAGGAAAAGCACCAAAGTCCAGGTTTAAATATATATTGCAACATTGGGGAGCAGTGACCCCAGAATAGAAGTCATGTGCCTAGGCTCTGGGATAGATTCCAGCCTCTTCTCTGCTGCTTCTAGGACGAACTTTGCGTTGCAAAGCTTTCTACAGCGTCAACGGCTCTGTGTACTGTGAGGAAGATTATTTGGTGAGTGAAGGGTCCCCTAGACCTGGAGTTGGCACCCACACTGGGACCCCCTTTCTTGGTGGCCCATTGGGGTTCTACCTATCATTCTCAGCTTAATATCATCCTCCCTTTGTCTTTCCTTTCTCCCTAGTTTTCAGGGTTTCAGGAGGCAGCTGAGAAATGCTGTGTCTGTGGTCACTTGATTTTGGAGAAGGTAACAAAAGTGGCTTTGGCTGAGACTCTCTGAGAGATTCAAGCTGAGGGGTGGAATTAGGGACTCTGATGGGTGGAATAATGGACACTGGTAGGTCACGGAAAAGAACCTATCACCAGATGAATCATTTAAATCCTATTCCTCCCCAGAGGAACTATTGACAGTGGCTTCCCTCTGCCTTTGGGATCAAGAGTGGGCTCCTAAGCCTACTATCCCTGGGCTTCTGTGACCCAGCCCCTCCCAAATTCCATAGGCCCTCTAGCTGAGCTAGGTGTGTGGGGTTCTAGATCTTAATCCCCTTTCTGCTACTAGTTAGAGCTCAGTTTTCTTTCTTGTAAAAAAGAGCGATTTGATTAAATCTGTGATTCTCAATCCTAGCAGCATAACAGATCACCTGGAAAGAACTTAAAAAAAAAATAGTGTCTGGGTGTGTTCACCAGAGATTGTGATAATAGGTCTTGGGTGGGACTCAGGCATTAATGTTTTTTTTGTTTGTTTTTTGAGACAGAGTCTCAAGCTGTTGCCCTGGGTAGAGTGTGGTAGTGTCATAGCTCACAGCAACCTCAAAACTTTGGGCTTAAGCAATTCTTTTGCTTCAGCCTCCCAAGTAGCTGGGACTACACAGGCATTAATGTTTTTTAAAAGCTCCTTAGATGGCAGCATCCATAGCTCAGAGGGTAAGGTGCCGGCCACATACACCAAGGCCGGCAGGTTTGAACTCGGCCTGGGCCAGCTAAAACAACATTGACAACTGCAACAACAACAAAAAAAAATAGCCAGGTGTTGTGGTGGGCGCCTGTAGTCCCAGCTACTTGGGAGGCTGAGGCAAGAGAATTGCTTAAGCCCAAGAGTTTGAGGTTGTTGTGAGCTATGATGCCACAGCACTTTACCCAGTTTACATAGTGAGACTGTCTCAAAAAAAAAAAAAAAAAAAAGCGGACAGTGCCTGTGGCTCAAAGTAGTAAGGGGCTGGCCCCATATGCTGGAGGTGGTGGGTTCAAACCCAGCCCCAGCCTAAAACACACACACACACACACACACACAAAAACCTCTCTAGATGATCCTAATATGCAGCCAGGATTGAAGACCACTGGCCTGAATGCTGTCTAAAGGCCTTTTTCATGGTTTCTGCCTCCATTTTAAGACTTTGGTTTTCTCAAATTATATAGATTATTCTAATAGTTTTGCAGGGGGTTGGATGAGGTTAATGGGAGTAGCAAGGAACATAATGGGTAGCTAGAGAGCTGCAACTGGAGGGAAACTGATTCTCTTCCCACCCTATGAGCCAGATCCTACAGGCAATGGGGAAGTCCTATCACCCAGGCTGCTTCCGATGCATTGTTTGCAACAAGTGCCTAGATGGCATCCCCTTCACAGTGGACTTCTCCAACCAAGTGTACTGTGTTACCGACTACCACAAGTGAGTCTATCCTTTGGAATGTGGTGTGGAACTGGGCCTATGGATTCTCCAACCTCAACTCATCTCTGCCCTCTGTCTTTCAGAAATTATGCCCCTAAGTGTGCAGCTTGTGGTCAACCAATCCTCCCTTCAGAGGTTAGTATGTCTGGGTAGTATGGAGGGCCACCAGTGCCACTGCCTCTGGGGAAGGGAAGGAGACATGCCGCTTGGCCTCCTGTGGGAAGTGGTGGTGCTGAGGAATGTACTCTGCAAAGATTCCCGTGTGACTCTGCTCTTGGGGTCACTACCCTGACCCTAACATCCGGGCCTGGACATGTTTGACAGCCTCATTGGGCTCGGGCTCTATCTCTGCGGTCCCAGTCTAGAGGAGGAGAGTTTCTTTGAGGTCAGGCTCACTAGATTTCAGATATAGGGCCTGGAAGAAGGTGGGGAGAATCCTCAGGGCTGGTAGAAAGGGGTCAGAAATGATTTAAGCTGTGTGTGCAAAGGGTATGCCTGAGGAGAGAAGCCAAAAGCCAATGAGGAAGGAGACCCTGTTGGATCTCCTTGTCCCCAGCCTAGCCTACTTTTTTTTGGCCACCTGCCCCTTTCCCTTCTCTCTGCTTCTGGTGAGTGAAGAGTCTATGGGACCCCTCAGAGGGAATGTTCCATGTGGGGAATGACTCCTGGGACAGCCCAAGGCAGAACGTGAGGAGAGTTCTGGTAGGATTTGCAAAGCTGCGGATGATCAGATGATCTCCAGAGCTCTGGGGACTTTGTGTGATCTTCCCCTAGGGGCCAGAGGGCTCCTATATGGAGGGAGGATGGAATTTGTGGGCATTGTGCTTCTCTTATCCCCATGGGGGTCTGCATGTTTCAGGGCTGTGAGGACATTGTGAGGGTGATATCCATGGACCGGGATTATCACTTTGAGTGCTACCACTGTGAGGTGAGTACTGGGGTACAGAGCTGCTAGAAAAGGAATAGAACCAGGGAAAAGGGAGGAATGAAGTCCTAGAATAGCCAGGTGTCTATGGGAGCGGTATAGGGTGTGGGAAACCAGAAAGGTGCTATGACCCCCCTCCAGTCTCTTTCTTTTTCTCCAGCCACTCTCTCTGGTCCTAGTAGTTTAGTCCTTTCTAAATATGATGTCCCCAGAATCCAGACTCCCTAAAAGTAGGGATTCCTGGTAACTGCTGGAACTACAGCTTGTCTCATTATTTCTACTGCAGCAGCGACACCTGGTGTCCAACTGGGATATTTTTTCAGGTTTCTTTGCCATCCCTGCCATCCTTCCCTCCCCCACAACCTTTTCTTCCAGTTATTAAGAGTCTGGTATTGAGCAGGGCAGACTCCCAAGATGTCCTCAGTTTCCAAAGTGCCTGGGCTGAGGTGAAGTAGGTGTCTTCTTCTCTAGGACTGCCGGATGCAGCTGAGTGATGAGGAAGGCTGCTGCTGCTTCCCTCTGGATGGGCACTTGCTCTGCCACGGCTGCCACATGCAGCGGCTCAATGCCCGACAGCCTCCCGCCAACTATATCTGAACTGCAGTCACAGCTGCTGCCATCACAACCATTGACAAACTTCTCTGGCCAGTGGGCCCCCTGAGGCCAGCAGAGGCAAAGGATGCACTCTATAGGCCTGGCAGAAGAGTTCTCTGGGGAGGGCCCCAAGGTCCAGAGACCCAAAGATCATGCATGACATTCCAAATGGATTGCAGAGAAGGAACTGTCTAATTGCCAGGGTGGGGTGACTGGAGTTCTTTCCTTGTATGCAACCTGTGCTCAGACACACACAGGCCAGTTCCAATACTTTCTGCACATCTGATTCTGGTCTATATCTTCAGTGTATGTTTGTGCATAAGTCAAGCAATGTTTTAGATTACAGGAGGAAATGACCTACCTTTAGGTGAAATGGTTTCAGCTGAACTGACTAGAACTAAATCAGAGTGTTTTGCTCCCTCCAGCTACCCCAAGCCCAGAGTTTTACGGTTTAGGTTGAATAATCTGTGATCTCTCTGAGAGGTGGCAGTATTGAACTACTGCCAGGGAAACAAGTGTTAAGAGTGACCTGAAAAGAAAGTGAGAGAGAGAGAGAGAGAGAGAGTGTTTGTGTGTATTTATGAATGCACTTGTGTGCATACACTGGACTCTAGGGCTCAGTGCACCTAAACTTGGGAGTGTGGCCAGCCTGAAGCTTTCTAAACATCCTACCCAGTAAATTCCATACCCACTTACTACTTCTCCCAGCTGAGAAGAGGAGAAACCAAATACAGGCACCCACCTAGCCTCTCAGGCCTATGTGAGTTCCTGGAAACCAGACAGTATAGGAAGCAGGCTCATCCACAGCTGGTCCCCATTCCTGGCAGAGAGATGAGGAGCTCTCCTAGTCCTTAGAAGAACACCAAGAAACAACTCATCAATAAGGTCCAGGCGGCACCCTTAACTCAATCAGCAGGGCACCGGCCACATACACTGAGGGTGGCAGGTTTGAACCCAGCCTGGACCAGCTAAAACAATGACAACTGCAACAACAACAACAAAAAATAGCTGGGTGTTGTGGTGGGTGCCTGTAGTCCCAGCTACTCAGGAGGCTGAGGCAAGAGAATTGCTTAAGCCCAAGAGTTTGAGGTTGTTGTGAGCTGTGACACCACACCACAGCACTCTACATAGGGGTGACATAGTGAGACTGTCTCAAAGAAAAAAATAAGGTCCAGAGTTTCTACTTCTTTATCCAGATAAAGAGATAGGATACTATGGTAAGCACCTGGCTCACCCCAAACCTGACACCATTGTGTAGGGCACAGAAGAGTGAAGAGCTTACATTCGGTTCCCTAGCAGTAAGTAGCTTACTACTACAGACCTGCTATCTCTCAGAGGGATCCCAGATTACATCAACTACTGCTACAAAATTCCAGCGTTTGGGGTAGCTGGAGGGAGCAGAACACTTAGATTTAGTTCCAGTCAGTTGGGCTGAAACTAGTTCACCTAAAGCTAAATCTTTCAAAACCAATTCACAGAAAACGTGTTTTCTTGAAGTTCAGTTCACATAATGACCAATTTGCCAAAAGCTCAATTCCCTTTTCGGTATTTTTATATCTGTGTAGGTGTCCTTTTTTTGTCATGCTTCGGGTGTTTCAAGGATGCATATCTAGTCATCCAAGAGTACTTCAGAGTTATTATAAGCAACATAAATTTATCAAATTTGCAGCACTTTGTAAATGTTGAGATTGCTTCCTGCCTTTATGGATGTCTTTTTCTGTTATTTACTTTTCAAACATTTTTTTTAAAAATTAAAGTTTCTAGCAATAAATATAATTGGTACAGACACTTTGTATATCATTTTTTGAGCTTAATCCAACATTCCTTTACAAATTAGATGACTTAAAAATATGATGGAGCTCAATATGATTTTGATGCTTTGGTCTAACTTCCATAGTCCTACTGTTAAAATGTCAGTATCTCTTGAACAAATGAATAGGCATGAGGGATATTTAGTTGACTAACAATTAAAGGTTATGTAGACAAAAGCTATTAAAAAAAAAAAAGAAAGGTGAGGCTTGGCACCTGTGGCTCAAGTGGCTAAGGTGCCAGCCACATACACCAGAGCTGGTGGGTTCAAATCCAGCCCGGGCCTGCCAAACAACAATGATGGCTACGATCAAAAATTAGCGGGCAGCTCCTGTGGCTCAAAGGGTAAGGCGCCGGCCCCATATGCTGGAGGTGGTGGGTTCAAACCCAGCCCCAGCCAAAAATTGGAAAAAAAAAAATTAGCCAGGCATTGTGGTGGGTGCCTATAGTTCCAGCTACTTGGGAGGTGGAGGCAGGAGAATCGCTTGAGCCCAGGAGTTGGAGGTTGCTGTGAGCTCTGATGTCACAGCACTCTACCCAGGGCGACAGCTTGAGACTGTCTCAAAAAAAAAAAAAAAAAAAAAGGATGTATCTGCTAAGTCCTTTTGAAATGCTGCAGATTTGATAAATATTTTAGACTAATTACCTCTAGGTAAATTGGTTTTAGGCAGATTAGTCTGGTAATCTTTGAGCCTTGGTCTCCATTCTGTGTCATTCAGTGAGTTTCACACTGCAAGTGATGACTCTTGAGGACAGAAATTCCACATTTGGGGATTTTAAGATAACTGCTAGCCAACCTGGAAATTACAAAGACAGGGTCTCTGAGTGAGAGGGAATGAGTTCAGATGCACACAACTGTCAGAGAGGGAAATGCACTTTATTGGAGAGATAATTTTTTTTGGAGACAGAGTCTCACTCTGTAACTCTTGGTAAAATACTGTGGCATAATAGCTCACAGCAATCTCCAACTCTTGGGCTTAGACGATTCTCTTGCCTCTTCCTCTGGAGTAGCTGGGACTACAGGCACCCACCACAATGCCCGGCTATTTTTGTTGCAGTTGCCACTGCTGTTTTAGCCGGCTAGGGCTGGTTTTGAACCCACCACTCTCGGTATATGGGGCTGGCACCCTACCCACTGAGCCACAGGCACTGCCCCCAGAGAGATAAATTTTATAAAACTAACTACTTATTCTACAGCTGAGATTACTTCTTCCTGACTATTATTATTAAATAAGTGAATACAAAGACCCTGTTACTGGGCAATTTTCTCATCAGGCTGCTCCAGACCTTGGAAATCCATCCCCTCAAGTTCTTTTACTCTGGGAATTTTGTCCACTCTGTCACTCTGATCATTTCTTACTCTGATTTTGGCCCTTTCCTGTTCTTGTCCTGACTGCCTCCTTCCTTTCTAGAGCTGTACTAATCTGTCCCTGTCCCAGTACAGATTCCAAAGACTCTAATCCTGCTACAGCAGCTACTCTGTCTTTTTTTTTTTTTTTTTTGCCGGTGTTCGGTTTGAACCCGCCACTTCCCGCATATGGGGCCAGTGCCCTACTCCTTTGAGCCACAGGCGCTGCCCAGCTACTCTGTCGTCGTCTTCTTCTTCTTCTTTTTGAGACAGAGTCTCACTTTATAGCCCTTGGTAGAGTGTCGTGGTGTCACAGCTCACAGCAACCTCCAACTCCTGGGTTTAGGCGATTCTCTTGCCTCAGCCTCCCAGGTAGCTAGGACTACAGGAGCCTGCCACAACGCCTGGCTATTTTTTGTTGCAGTTTGGCAAAGGCCAGGTTTGAACCCACCACTTCCAGTATATGGGGCTGGCACCCTACTCACTGAGCCACAGGCGCCGCCCCTTCTTCCTTTTTTTATTTTTGAAACAGAGTCTGGCTCTCTTACCTGGGTTAGAGTGCAATGGCACAATCACAGCTCACTGCAGTTGGGCTCAAGTGATCCTCCTATCTCAGCCTCCCAAGTAGGCAGAACTACAGATGCTACCATGCCCAGTCTTCTTTTCTTTTCTTTTCTTTTCTTTCTTTCTTTCTTTCTTTTCTTTTTCTTTCTTTTTTTTTTTTTGTAGAAATGAGATCTTGCTATGTTTCCCAGGGAGGTCTCAAATTCCTGGCCCCAAGCAGTCTTCTTACCTGGGCCTCCCTAAGTGCCAGGCATGCTGGCATAAAGCCACTGTGCCTGTCCTCAATATTTTCTATTTAATATTCACAGTTGATGATGAAAGATTCATGGGGTGCTGTCAAGCATACGGCAAAAAATAGACCTTGTGTGGCCACATACCACCTAATTTTCTTTAACAGCTACTAGTCCTGAGATGAGGAAAGGGGGAAAATGGAAGAATTATTAATCCATTCTGTGTCTCTAGATAAGAGTCATAGCACAAGGGCCAGGCTTTAATTACAGAGTTCAGCTCTTTGCTCTGGCTGCCCTGTTCACCACAGAGTTATCAATAATAATGCTGATTGGCAGGCACAGTGGCTCACACCTGTAAACCTAGCATTCTGGGAGGCTGAGGCAGGAAGATGGATCACTTGAGCTCAGCAGTTTGAGACCAGCCTGAGCAAGAGCAAGACCCCGTCTCTACTAAAAATAGAAACACTGCCAGGCTCTGGGCAGCTCCTATGGCTCAGTGAGTAGGGGGCCAGCCCCGTATACTGAGGGTGGTGAGTCAAACTCGGCCCCAGCCAAACTACAGCAAAAAAATAGCTGGGCATTGTGGCGGGTGCCTGTAGTCCTAGCTACTTGGGAGGCTGAGGCAAGAGAATCAACTAAGCCCAGAGCTGGAGGTTGCTGTGAGCTGTGAGTACCAAGGGTAACAAAGTGAGACTCTGTCTCTAAACTTCCCCCCGCCCCCAAAAAAAAACAACTGCCAGGCTGAAGTGATCCTGCGTGAGCCTGTAATCCTTGTACTCTGTGAGGCTGAGTCAGGTAGATTGCCTGAACTCGTGAGTTTGAGACCGGCTGAGCCAGAGTGAGACCTCATGTCTAAAAATAGAATAGCTGGGCATTGCAGCAGGTGCCTGTTGTCCCAGCTACTTAGAAGGCTGAGACAAGAGAATCTCTTGAGCCCAAAAGTGTGAGGTGGTTGTTAGTTGTGACGCCATGGCACTCTACTGGGGGCAACAAAGTAAGACTGTATCAAAATTAAAATAAAATTAAAGTAGAGAAACTAGCCAGGTGTTGTGGCTGGCCTTCCAGCTACTTGGGAGGCTGAGGTTTGGAGGATCACTTGAATGCAAGTTTGAGGTTGCTGTGAGTTAGGCTGATGCCATAGCACTGCAGCCTGGGTAACAGAGTAAAACTCTGTCACAAAAAAAAAGAAAAAGAATAAAGCTGATGATGGTTCTCTCTGCCTTACTCCTTAGAGACTTAACTGTCTTCCTGGAGCTCCCAAGGTTATGAAAATGGTAAGATTCCATTTATAATGATACTAGAGACTGTCCTCAGTGAAAAAGGATATAGAGAAAGAGCTACTTCTATGCATATTAAGCCAGTTGAATGAGGTCTTTCAGGGTGTACCTATACAGAAGGGAATAGGTTAGGCATGGTGGCTGTCATCTTAACACTTGGGAGGCTGAGGTAGGAGGATTGCTTGAGGCCAGGAACGCGAGACCAGCCTGAGCAAGAGCAAAACCCTGTCTCTACAAAAAATAGGAAAATTAGCTAGGCATGGTGGCATTCGCTGATAGTCCCAGCTACTTGGGAGGCTGAGGCCGCAGGATCACTGGAGCCCAGGAGTTGAAGGTTGCTGCGAGCTATGATGATGACACTGTACTCTGGCTTGGGCAACAGAGTGAGACCCTGTCTCAAAAAAGCAAACAAACAGGTTCGGCGCCTGTGGCTCAAGCAGCTAAGGCGCCAGCCACGTACACCTAAGCTGGCGGGTTCGGATCCAGCCCGGGCCTGCCAAACAACAATAATGGCTGCAACCAAAAAATAGCCGGGCGTTGTGGTGGGCGCCTGTGGTCCCAGCTACTTGGGAGGCTGAGGCAGGAGA